CCCCTCCTCGAGGTTCTGGTGTTAGGTGTTTTCGGGGAGGACGCACGGGGCGGCCTGTAAGGAGACTGGAGATCGTCGAAGAGCACCTCCCCTGAGCCCACTGTGGTTTCGCCATCGGGGCGACACAGGCCAGCAGGTTGTCGATCGGCATGTTTGTTCAACACATACATGTTCATGGGAATGATCTCTGTGAGGGTCGCTTTGCGTTACTCCGACCCCGATCCCCAGCCACGCTGTGGGGAAGTAGCAAGGTAGGGTCACGCGTTGACATGTTGACAGTGCTTAGGCCATATCTCAAGGGCAGAGCGGAATGCACAAGCTAAGGGCAAGATGGAAGGTCGAGAGTGGGATGGGGCGAATTCCATTCGCCAGCCACGCTCAAAGGGGGTACGAAGAGTGTGGGCTGGGGCAAATACCATTCCCCAGCCACGCCAGGAGGGGGGATTTAGGTAGGTTTGTCGAGCGTGGGCTGGTGAGAAATAATGCCACAGATACTGCAGCAAGTTCTGCCTGGCACCTGAGAAGGTAGCCGTATGGGCCGTTGCCAATATCATTTTTGGTCGTTGTCAGGCACCCGTGCATCCTTCTTTACCTGTGAGGGGTTCGGGTCCTTACCTGCAAGGCCTCGGTTTTCGGACTTGCGCCTCCAGGCTGTTCCCGGAAGCACCAGAAGCACACCTCTTGCTCTATCCAGATGTATCCCAGCAGCGGTATCCAACGTTGAAGCGAGAACGATCCCCGAGTAGGACCCCACCCCCAGACACGCAGAGAGGAGTAGTAAGGTAGGTGCAGTGTTCTGGGTGCTAAGCTCCTTTTTCGTAGGGTCCTGCGAGGTTGCGGGCCAGCCCCCCGCCGAATAACCCTGAACCCACGAGAATAAACCCCCAGGGATAGTAAAGTTCGGGGTTTTCGGGGAGATAATAAAAGTTGCCCGCCAGAGCCAGCATAAAGAGATATCAAGAGGAAAAAGCCAAAGATATCTTGAGGATTGTCTCGGTTGAGACATCCTCAACGAATTGCTTGTTTCGCTTGAGACATCCTCGAAATATTTGTCTGTTTCGCTTGAGACATCTTCAAAGTATTGCTTATTTCGCTTGAGACATCCTTGAGGGAGGAGGAGGAGGAGAAAGAGCAAGAGGAGGAGAGGAGAAGGAGATAGCAAACATCCAAAGTTTAGAACTTATTAGATTTAATGTGCAAACGCTTGATGAACATTAAAATTTTCATCTGCTCGTGTAGGGTAGCTCACGTGCCTCGTTTTCCCAGGATAATCAACCCCAGCGATGAACAAGTTCAGGGCGCCAGGGGGAGGAGGAGAAAGAGATAGAGAGACAGAGAGAGAGAGAGAGACAGAGAGGCCAGGAAGGAGAAAGAGATAGAGAGACAGAGAGAGAGAGAGAGACAGAGAAAGAAAGAAAGAGAGATAGAAAGAACTACAAAGAGACAGAAGGACATTGGTTTCGCTTGAGACATCCTGAAACAACGTGTTCGCTTCGCTTGATGTTGTTATCTCAACATAAGAAAGAAATAACCTCGATGGCGAACTTTTCCCGTGATAATGAAGTTCGGCCTCCGCGCCCCCGCGCCCCCGACCAAACTCTTATTGGTCGACGATAAAAAACTCTAACGACTTAAGGGGGGGGTACATTATTATCGTGGGCATGGTGTTAACCAGGCATCGCCAGATAATATCGAGTAGGGCAAAAGTGCACCGTCCTAAGAGTAAACAGGTCCTCCTCCCCCTCCTCCTCGTTCTTCCCCTCCCTCCCGGTGGGCCAACATTCTCGATTGATGAATTCTTTCGCCGGGGGGGGGGCCTGCATGCATCCCACCGAGACTGAGACTGGGTGGGCTTAAGGTCTGAGGAGGGGGGTGGGGGGCTTGCTTCACAGTCGCGGGGCGACACGTTTCCGAGAGAGTGTGAGGATGAGCGACTGGCGCTACTCGTGCTTCGCAATCGTGGGGCGGTCCCCCCCTGGGAGGAGGGTAAGAGAGGGCAGCTCGTAGCTTGTCACCATTATTGGGGCACAGAGTGGTAACACTTTACCCGTGCCTTGAAAACGACAGCCGAGACAATCCTCCTCCTCCGCTGTGAACTCCAGAACCACGCCGTGGCCCGGAGGGGAGAGTTGGGGGGGGCCCAGTGTGCAGGGATACCTTGAGGCTCATTGGTTCCCTTTCTTACTGCCCTGTTGTAGGGCATACTCTGTGACGTTGTGCATCCACATTGGCAGATACCAGCGCATCCTGATATGTGTTGTTTGCATGATATCCGCCGGTTCGCGTTGTCGTGCGTGGGTAATACGCGCTTCACAATGATTTGGCGGTACTTCGCCTGGTAGGCTTCACGGCGTGCACGGATGGGGGGGGTCATTGAAGAATGCTTCACAGTCGTTGGGCGGACCTGCCCCTTTTGGGGGTTCAGGCTTGGGGGAGAGGGGGGGCGTTACGGCCTTAGTCAATCTGCTGCAGCACGTTGGCTGGTCGCTTTCTGCATGCGAGCGAGCTGGCGCAGGTAATCGTACTTCACAGTCGTGGAGAGGACCCGGGCCTTGGGGAATGTTGGTTGAAGGAATTCCCATTGCAGACTCTCGGTCCCAAGGCATTCAGAGACCGTACTTCACAGGCGTGGGGAGAACCGCGCCTTGGGGGGTTGGTGTGGGGGGTCTTATGAGAGGCGTTCACTTGCCGAACTCCACTGCTCGCGCAATCATCCCACCCACCCACCCGCAACTTGGTTTGCAAAATCTCTTAAGACCGTGACAATGGGTACCAAATGGCACTTGGCAACGACAGCGACGCCGACGACGACAGCGACAACGAAGACGACGACGCCGCCGACAACGACTACGACAACACCGACGACGTCTCCAACGACTTCGACGACGCCGACAACGACGACGACGACGACGACGACACCGACGACGACGACGACGACGCCGCCGCCGACGACGACGACGACGACGACGATGAAAACGACGACGACGATGACGTCGCCGACGACGACGACAACGACGACACCGACGACGACGACGACGACGTCAACAACGCCGACGACGACGACGCCGACGACGACGGCGGCGACGACGACGCCGACGTCGACGACGACGAAGACGACGACGACGCCGACGCCGACGACGACGAAGACGACGACGTCGCCAACGCAGACGACGACGAGGGAGGAGGGAGGACGACACGGCGACAACGACGACAACGACGACAACGACGAGGGAGGAGGGAG